CCTTTAATAAGATCAACATATTGCACATATCAGCACAATCCTAGAATATATCCTCAGTATCAGTATTACTTGTGAATTCATTATAATGGTTGTTGTGGAAAATCTGCTGATCAATGGTCAAGTCATCAATGAAGAAAGCGCTCAAGAGCCCTTTGACGTCTTATGCAGAAATATTTATTGAAGCTTGGCCAAGGAGAAAATCAGAATTCATCCACACAAAATCTGTGCATGATGCTCTCTCATATTCTGAAGTCTGCTTTCCTGCAGTCACACTTTAAACCCCAACAGATCATTTAATCTATGGGTGTGCTCGTTCCTAAACAATCAAATGTTTACTGCCTGCTTACGCAGTCTCATATCTTTGATGTCTAGGGAGTGAAGGCTTTGACCTTCCCCAAGCTTTCGCATTTCCCAAACACAACAGCCTGTTGCACTCTGCCCCAGAGAGGACAAGAGACAGTGTCTATGAAAATTCCCTAACAATGGTCAAGTAAAAATATTGTCATCCAGACATCCAGGTCTAAGCTTTAGTAGTGTACAGTGTTATCACAGTGATGTGTGCGTCACCTTGATAGCATGGTAAAGAAATGCTCCATGCATAGCTTCTCTGATGGCTTCCATTCCTCTGAAGGAAAAGGACAGGTTGGACAGACCTCCGCTCACCCTGGCTCTTGGTAAGGTCTCCTGCACTCACACACACACACACAAACTCATCAATAGTATCAAATGTTTGAAGCAGTCCCTAAAATCATTTAAAATAATTCCAAGAAGAATAAAAATCATTTGACAATTTCAGAAGTGCTTTAGTCTTATTATCAGGGTATATACAGATCAACCTACGGAGCCCCCCTATATAGTAGAGGTTGTCTGAGCTTGTGTAAAAGTGCTGGGGGATTAGGATTAAATTGCAAACTCTCACAAATATTTGTTCCATTACCTTGATCAGCTTGGTAGCCTTGATGAAGTTGACAGCATACTCGTTGTGTTCCTCCATGCCTGTGCCGATGGTCAGGATGTTGGGGTCAAAGATGATGTCGTTGGGGTCAAATCCCACTTTGCTGACAAGCAGCTTGTAGGCCCGACTGCAAATCTCCACTTTGCGGTCTGTATCTGTGGCCTGGGGAGGACGGATCACCGGTCAGCATGTACATTTGCGTTTGTGTTGGAGACTTTGGGTTTGAGTCCTCACCTGTCCCTCCTCGTCGAAGGCCATGACCACCACAGCAGCTCCGTAGCGCTGCACAGTGGCAGCTCTATGGAGGAACTCCTCCTCTCCTTCCTTCAGACTGATACTGTTGACTATGCACTTGCCCTGACAGCACTTCAACCCAGCCTCAATCACGGAGAAGTTGGACGAATCAATGCACAGAGGAACCTGGGGAGCAGAAGGAGAGGGTCCATCTCTTTCACTCTGATTTACTGAGAGGGTTATTACGTAGTTTCTCCCACAGTCCAAACACATGCAGATTAGGGTCACCCAATCTCAGCTGGGATTGGCTCCGGCTCCCCCTGCAACCCTCAAAGGATAAGCGACATAGCTAATGGATGGATAGATGGTTACTTCATAGGCTATTTAACAAGAAGTTCATATCCTAAATTAAACATTTTCAGAAGAAAATAAAAAGGACAATAAACTGGTACCAAACAACTGAAGGCGACAAATAAAGCTGCACAGAATATAAGTAAAGGTGATATCCATGATAGCAAAAGAGGCATGGACAAATTAAAAAAGTCAAAAGGACACATGAAATATATTTTTCCAAAGATGGTTTACGTCCTTTTAAATTGTTCTAATGACACTGATCTATATCCAAGTGTTCATGACCTGTCATTGTCAAGATATGCATTCCACACATATATAGACAGACATACGTATGTGGAATTAGCAGGCAGACGTAAAGAGTGTTAAGCGTAAAAAGGTCAGTTGTGAGCCATGAGAAGACAAAAGATAATTGATGAACATGGAGTTTACCACAGACCAGTCTTCCTTCACAATAAGTAAACCAACAACAGCTCTTTCAAGGATGACACTGTGCAACTGTGGTGTCCTATATGATAGGAGGTTACATTAGCAGAACAGCAGTTGCAGTGCTCCATCTGTATCCACACAAGGTGCCTTCAGGCACAGCAATGAGTGCAAGACACCTGGGTTTTAATGTGGTTGTTGCACAGTCAATTCAATCAGTCAGTTAAAATAGAAGCAGATTTGTTATATCAGGGGTGTGTTCAGTTCCCCTGCCTTAAAATCCTACCCGTGCTATGTCTGGCTCAGAGGCGATGTAGTTACAAAATCGGGCCATGGCTGTTGTGCCCTCCAGCATCCCTTCATCCATGTTTATGTCCAGGACCTGGGCTCCCATCTCCACCTGGGTCTTGGCAATGCTTAGCGCCTCCTGGAAAACAAAGCAGGAAGCACATAGCACCCAAAACAAACAGCTAAATGCAACATCGACAATCAAATCAATGGATGAATAAAAAGAATTCAGAAATATTGTTTCACCTCAAAGTCTCCTGCCATGATCAACTTGGCAAACTTGCGTGACCCAGCCACATTACATCGTTCTCCAATGTTTACAAAGTTGGTGTACGGGCCGATCCTGAACGGTTCTAAGCCTAGAAATCAGAGAGACATTTTACCTTAATGACATGTTCGATGAGAAGGACCTGGCAGCAGAAGGAAGCTCTCCGAACAAACTGGCACGTCAAGATGTAGGTTTTAATAACAGTACATAAACACTACTGGATGGATTGCCACAAAATAAGGGTCAGGGTGGAGCCCATTAAATTTTGATGCAGATCCGGATTCAGGAACATGTTATCACTTTCTTTCACATAGTGAGATTGGGTATTTTTGACATCACTGATTTTTGAGGACATATTTCATGGATCTTGATGAAAAAAATCATACATGTTGAGGGGACTGGTTCCCTTAAGCGTAAAGGTTAATAGTATTGGGCCTCAGTGGGCGTATGTGGGCTCTGTTGACTGCCATTTCAGTTTCCTTATGTGTTTGAAGCATGTTTTAAATTTGACACAATATCAAATATCTTGTCTTTCAACAGCAAGTTGAAAGAGGAGCAGGTCAGAGCACATGGAGGCTTCTTACCAAACAAAAAACCATTTCTAGTTGTAGTCACGTGTATTAGCTACTCTCTTTCCAAAGAGTTTTACAGCTGACGTTACAGATGTTAACAGATGGTTTTCATACCCGAGAGCAGCAAGTTATCTTGATGAATGTCAGCAGCAGGTGTTCTTGGCTTGCAGTGTCTGACTGCCTCAGATATGGCTCTGCAGGGGGAGGACGGAGGGGACAAAAATGTTAAAATATGTCTTGATCTCTTTGAAACATATTTACGAATCAGAGACATGACAGTGACCTGATGTGTCCTGGAGTGGTCCCACAACAGCCTCCCACAATATTTACCAGTCCATCTTGAGCAAAAACCTGTCGACAGAATTGAACAGTTAGTTGCAGCCACTGAGGCAGCCAGGGCTACTCTGGGTTACATAGCACACGTTTGTCCATTCTATTCTAACCAGGATGGTCTTTTGCATCTTCAATGTCTTTTTTTCAAGAATTCTTACCATGGCCTCTGAATTAAGTTTTACTAAACAACACAGACATCACACCCACACAAGGAATAAAGAAAAGAATGGATAAAAGGTCATTTTCATGTCCTGTACTTTCAAAGTGATGATTAGTTCAACATTTAGGAAAATGTTATTCACTTTTTTTCTAAAAGTGAGATGATAAGTGGGGCATCATCTTGTGTGTGTGAGTCAGCATGACTCAGAGACGTTAGTCTAGTTTAGCATAAAGGATGTCTCTTTTCTGTTTCCACATTTGTGTCTGGATTAAACAGAAAAGCTGTGACAGGCTTGTTAATGACCTTTAAACCTGTAGTTGTATTTGAACAGAGCCAGGTGAGCTGGTTCCAGCCACTGCCAGTCTCCCAGGTCTCCAGGCTAAACTTGACTGACCCCATTCTGACTCCAGTTCTCATAGATATGAGATTAATAACAATCTACTTTTAAAATATATATATTATGGGATTTTCTCAGATGGAGAGCAAGAGTAAAATGGGGGAGAAAATGTGGACGACTTGCAGCAAAGGGCTGATTTGGAACTGAATCGGTTTTATCCAGCTCTCAAAAAAAATTGAAAGCATAGAAAGCATAGAACTGTTTCCCAAAATTTAAAAAATACTTGTTTACTGCAGCAATTGTCGAAAGTGCTGCCATGTCTCATCTGCTTTTGTTCCTTGAGGTTTGACATTACAGAGTGAGAGAAAGCTTTGGCAGAGCAAGAAGGCTCCCTGGCTTTGTGTTCAATGATTGTAAGGCTACCAAGAAAATATCCGATTTTACTGCTCAAATGCGACTGCATCCAAGACGTCAACAAAGACAATGCTACATGTTCCCACATGACACAGGAAGTTAGAAAAAAATATTTAAGCAGTGCACCACCTCGTTCCATTCAGCCAAAAAGCCACAATATCTTTTTCAAAAATAAAAGTGTTACTCAACATGATCATCTTGCTCATCCTGATGATGTAAATCTTTATATCAATTTTTAAAATAAATAGTAGAAACCTTTAGACTGGAGGCCATGACTTCTGGAGTTTCATCATACCCTCCGAATGTGTTGGGAAGACCTACCAGATAACAAACAGACACCATGACATCAATACACCGACCTGCATGATGCAACCTAAATGAGGACAAAGGTCTGTGTGCTTAATATCAGCATAGTCTACAAAAGAGAGTAGAGTTAGTTAGGGTCAACTAAAACATGACAATGTTCCCAACAACCTGACCCCCTGAACATAACGTCTGAAAAGGTAAATTATGCCTTCAATTTGAAGAGGTGTTTCCATTTGCACCATATTTAATTCAGTGCAGCTTGTATGGAGCCTGTAGTGTGCCAATGCAATTACTATTATAAACTCATGCAGTGCTGGATAACACTGAATTAAAAGTTTGATACTTAACTAGAATTACGACTTCAGGGCAATCTACATCAATATCTGTCCAAACTCAAAAAATATATGTAGAGAAGAGTTTGAAAGAGTTAAATAAAAGATAAGAAGTATGTGTTGACATAATTATCATGAATTCTTTAGTTATAGCTATACATTTCTTTGAAGAGGTCACAGAGACTGTTGATCACCGTATCCTGATCAGTTCCTGTAAGGCTTTATTGAGATATCGTGTTGACGAGACTGGAATAGACGGATGGATGGACAGCCTAAAAACATAACACAACTGCACTGTACTGCAATACCAACTTCTTGGTTGAAACTTATTAATCTGCAAATTAAACACAGACAATCCTATATTAACTGTGGTGGCACACTCTAGCCTCCGTGCACCACACTACACTACAGTGTAATCTGTTATGATACCATAAGGTGCATCATGCCTGTATTTTGCTACACGGATGTTGTTGGAGTGTGGGTTACCTGCGTTGGGATAACAGACAATGAAAGCTGTGGTGCTTTTTCCAATGGCCTCAATGAATGGTCTCATCTCTGTCGCTCCCAAGGCACAGTTGAGACCAATACTGAAACCCAGAGAAGAACACAGCCAGTGAGACTCAGAGAATTTAGAAGAAGTAATAGAACAAAGTTGTGTTACTGTCAAGACTCTAATACAATGTATTAAAGCCGTTTTCATGTCCTGCAGAGGATCTCCAGAGAATTGGGTCTGGAATTTCTCTGCATTTTGCCTTTCTCACATGCACAACGCAGTGGGGGTTCAGGCACACATGAGGATTCAGGTGAGGGGTGGTGCAGCAGGCAGAGGCAGGATGGAACGCGTTAATTCTGTGGCAGGGATCACGTGATTTTGTTTTTAATAATAACAATAAATTGTATTTATACAAACCCTTTCATACATAAAATGCAGCTCAAAGTGCAAAAAAATAAAAATCATGAAGACCAACAGAGATCAATAAGAATATGTTAGTCAATCAGAGACGTATGAGGGCGGCTGTACCATTAAGAGACTTAAAAACAAGTAAAATCATTTTTAAATCAATCCTGTTCTGCTGACTTTCTACTACAGGGCCAGGCAAAGAAAGTGTGCAGAGACTCCGGAGGCTCTTCTTCGGACATTTGAGTTCACACATAGCCGTCCTCTGAGGGACTTCATTGCATGTCTGAAAGCAGCTAAAGTGCAGTTAGTTGTGATGTACAGTAACTCACCAAAGTGGTTTAGCATGAGATACACTCACTACAAAGGCCTCTCCTGTCTGACCAGACAGAGTTCTTCCACTTCGGTCAACAATAGTCCCTGAGATCTAGATCATGATCGGGACATGAGAGAAACATGAATATTTAAATACATATATATTTAGAAAACACATTTATCGTTTGTTAGCCCCAAGAGAGCTGAGACAGTGACCAAATGTCCATCTTGTTTTTATAATCAACATATCTATGTTTAACAATTCAGAGAGATTATACATTTTTTTCAGGCATGTGTAAATAAAGACATGGAAAATGTGGTTTGATGACAATCAAATAAACATACAAATATGGGTTTTCTTTCATAGCTGTTTTCAAACAGCAGGTCGATGGCGAACAAGGCAGCCTGTCAAAAAAAAACAAAAAAAAACATGTCACATTATCTTCTAACAGCATCACAACGCTACATTTAGAATTTGTCCACTGGAATTATTCTTACAGCTGTATCTCACAGGTCGAGTTGTGATCAAAAGATATAAGCATATGTAAACTGTCTAATACAGCGAATTACACTCACCGGCCACTTTATAAGGCAAACCTGTTCAATTGGTTGTTAACACAAATAGCTAATCAGCCAATCACATGGCAGCAACTCAATGCATTTAGGCATCTAGACGTGGGGAAGTTCAAGCCGAGCATCAGAATGTTGAAGAAAGGGGATTTAAGTGACTTTGAATGAGGCATGGGTGTTGGTGCCTGATGGGCTGGTCTGAGTATTTCAAAAACTGCTGATCTACTGGGATTTTCACACACAACCATCTCTAGGGTTTACAGAGAATGGTCCAAAAAGAGAAAATATCCAGTGAGCGGCAGTTGTGTGGACGAAAATACCTCGTTGATGTCAGAGGAGAATGGGCAGAGTGGTTCAAGATGATAGAAAGGCAACAGTAGCTCAAATAACCACCAAGGTATGCAGAATACCATCTCTGAACGCACCACACGTTGAACCTTGAGGCGGATGGGCGACAGCAGCAGAAGACCACACCGGGTGCCACTCCTGTCAGCTAAGAGCACTAGCAAGGTGTACCTAATAAAGTGGCCGGTGAGTGTATATGTATACAGCATGTTTAAAGTGGGAAAGTTTACATTGAATATTACATTATAGACTATATTATATAATAATCACACTAAAATTAATAAGATTTTTTTGTGATGTAATCATCAGAAAATTAAGAAAGAATCAACAGCACATAACTGTGGTCCCAATATTGAGCAGTTTTCTCCAAATATTTTGCAATATCTTGGATTATATTATTATTGTGTGATTAGAATTACTAACCACCACTTAAAAAGGTGCTAGGACAATTAATGTGTCAAAATAAATTCATTAAATGTATCAATATATTTACATAAGTTACATGGGGTTACCTTTGCATTGGCAGTGTCGAAGATGGTTTCAACCAAAAGGATGTCTGCTCCTCCGTCCAGTAAACCTCTGACCTGCTCTGAGTAGGCTTCTACTAACCCATCAAATGCTGGGGAAGACACACACACACACATACTGATACACCTTGAGCACAGTTTCTCATCCAACAACTACCTGGTGCCACCTTTCTGTCACTCTCCCCTCTTACCATCACCACAGGCACCATTAGTTCCCCCTCTGAGAGAAGTAATTTTCTAGCCTATGTGGATGACAGCAAGTTCCAAGGAACAGCCAGTGGAACAGCTCAATCTAGTTCTGTCGCATATTTGAACACTCAGCCTTTCTGTGAATCACCATACAAGTTTGTGACCCCAGAGGTCAGGGTGGCAACTTCTATTTAGCAGTCATATCTGCTTCTAGTGTTGGGTGTAATGGGGTGTGACAGTGTCCCTGCTTTACGTGACTGAAAAGGAACAATGTAAAGGAGAGGAGTCATCTATCTGCATCCCAGGACCTTAAGAAAACGTAATCCTCTTACTGATGTTCCTGAAGTCCGGTCTCTCCACAGACGGTGATACAGACAGGGTTTTATTCGTGGGACCCACTGCCCCGGCCACGTAGCGTTTGGAACCTGACAACACAAACAAATTGCAGTTGATGTCGCGCATTTGAGAAATTGCCCAAGAGTCCTTTATATCTATCTATCACATTATGCTGCCTGAATGCTAAAAATTCACTTTACCAGTTTGTTTGATGAAATCGTCAACAGCCCTCCTCGCCAGCTCGGCTGACGTCCTGTTGAGACGATAGGCCTGCACCACAATCGCACAACACACATTACATTTTATAGAGATAAATGAACTTGTGACAAACTGGTAATTCAATGAGACATGTAACCTTTACTCTACCTTATGTCTCTGTATTAATAAACAATGTATAAGCATGTAGTTCTATCTGAATGTGTAGTATTTGTGCAAAAGTGTAACTATGCTATGAAGGCATACTACAACTGTATTGTGATACACTATTATTGTCATTTATTTTTTGGTTTTTTTGGTACGTGCAAACTCAAACACACTGGCTATGCCAACCATCCTGCTCACCAATGCAAGCGCCACAGACAATAAAATAAACACTGTATGTCTTCTGAGGTCTACTTAAAGGAATGCTGGGTATTTGTCTTTACAGAAACATGGTTTGATGGCAACATCCCAGACTCACCACTTAGCTAGACCAGCTAACATGTGAGAGCCTTGTTAAAAGAGTGACAGTGTGTGTGTGTTTTTACATTAGAGATGCTGACTATGATGACTATGATTTGTTAAAAGGGTTTGTCAGTGACTAGTGAAAATTTTTTCTTGAAATGCTGTAGAAGTGATCGTCTGAAAATTTAAACAATTGCTGAGATTAATAGAAATAAAGTGTTGAATATTGATATTATCTGTTTCCCACCTTGTTAAGTCATTGTTGATGATTATTGTGAGAAATCATTAACGTGATCAGTGTCTTCACATCGATGAGTATCAATTATCATTAATAATAATATATAACTAAAGGCAAACTGAGCAAATGTGTTATTTCAGAAGAGTGTATAAAACTGGTAGCCCTTCATATGACTCAGTACCCATGAAGTAGCTCTCAGGTTCAAAAAGGTTGGTGACCCCTGTCCTACACCATCAATGAGCAGACGAGCACCGACAAAAATTTCAAATGAGCACATAAGGCTGGTTATTACTATTATTATTGTCAATTGGTATTGCTACCATTGCAGCTGTTATCATAAATAATATTAATGAATCAACAAGTACTACTTTTCTTATGGTCATTATAGCAACCAGTCTGGAGGTAAAAATACAAATTAAAACTTTGTAAACTGAACTTTGCACAACTGTTCCTGGTCTCTCCCCCCTCGCTCCACCATATTTCTCTCAACCAGCCAATGTTTTGATTACGGGTGATGCAACTCTTTAGGCCAAAGTGATATGAACTAAAGATTTTTTTGCTGTAAATTGATAAACATGTAGTGTTTATGAATATAAACTGTCTGGGCTGTGTCTGCTGAATTCTGGGAGGATCGGGGACACAGAACTAGTGTCCAGCTGGTTGTAGTAATGGAGACAGTTCTCATTCTCAGAAGCGATTTATGGGGTGGTCAATAAGTTAACACCAGAGTTTGTGTACTTGACATTTATCTCTACCACTGCCATTGTCTATGTAGGTCAAGCATCATGTGTAAACATCATACCATGTGTTCCAGTCCATAGTCTGCCTGAGCGATGGAAGTGCTGCTGAATGTGTTAGTCTCTATGATATCCGCACCGGCTTGCAGGTATTCCTTTATACACAGAGGAGAGCACAGGTGACACAAATACAAAACTCACACATTCAAGTTCAATCCTATTTAAATTACTTAAAGCAACAGTGGCTTTGACTATGTTTACATGGACACCAATATTCCAATATTAATAAAGTCAATACTCTGAATAAGATACTGCCCCGTAAACAGCCATTTCTGATTACCTTACCCCAAATGTCAACTTTGGAATAAGCAAGAACTGAATTAAGACATCTGACCTTAGTCACATTTATGTAGACAATGTATATGTCTTAATCACATTTAAAAGGTACAGTGTGTAGAATTTAGTGATATCTAGTGTTGAAGTTGCATGTTGCAGCTGAACACCCCTCACCTCACCCTCTCCTTCCAAACATGAAAAAGAACCTGTGGTAGCTTCAGTTGTCATAAAAACTCAACAGGTGTTTAGTTTGTTCAGTCTGGACTAATGTAAAAAACATGGCGGCCTCTGTAGAGAGGGTCCCCTCCATGTAAATATAAAGTATTTAAATATAAAGGTCTTTTTCTGGGGTAAAGAAAACTACAATTCATACAATTTAGATGAAACAAACTAGTGAAAACATCATGAGGATTATTAAATTAAATTTCTGACAATAGTTCCCTTTCACCTAAATCTTACACACTGGACCTTGTATGTCCTATTGGAGTTTTCACAGCATTTGTCATACGGCAGTTACCAACTTCTTTACAATGCATGCCCTGGGTATAAACAAGACAGTTGTCAGTTGTAGCTTTTGCGAAATTAGACAGAAAACACCCAAACTTATTTACAGTGGCATCGTAAAATCGAATTGTATTATAGCATCATTATAGCATCGGATTAAACTGTTTCGGGCTATGGTTCTAATACTAGCAGAATAACATCAGATTGTGAACAGTAATTAATAGAAGAATCTATTCACATCTTATGTTAACACCATAATACAATAAAATGTCTTATTCAGAATAAGGTCAATAGTTGGAATATTGGCTTCCATGTAAACATAGTCACTGTTACTCTCTTCAATCCACAGACCACAGAGAGAGTGAAATGAACTGCATGGCTGACACCACTAAAGCTGAGTGAGAAGATGTAGTCTGGTTGAGCAGAGCCACAGTTTTTTTCTCCTTGACCGAGTACCTTGTGTATTTTGTAAATTATATCGGGCTGTGTGACGCTGAGAAGGTCGTTGTTGCCCTTCAGTGGAAGCGGGTGCTCTTTAAGTTCGTCCCCCCTGAAATCTTCCTCTTCAAGTTTATGCTGCTGGACCATGGTTCCCATCCCGCCATCCAGGACCATAATCCTTTGCTGCAGCACTGTTCGTAGCTCGGACTCTAATTGGCATTTGCATCCTAGAAAGAAAGTAGAGACTTTCACTAGTGGGGATAAGAAACCTTCAAATACATCAACCGTTAGACAAAAAAATGAAAATAACTATCCCCATCCACCCCTTCCAAAATGAAATCACTCAATCTGTTGTCTTAATTGTGCCAATCAATGTTATAATATAACAATCATATATATCTTTAATTTATCTATTGTTTATAGCTGTTTATAAGTGTCCCATAGACTTGTATTGAAAGACTGAATTAATACCATTCAGGCGTGGGTTAAAAGATATAACACAGTGAAAGTGTTAATTCACAAATGAAAAACTGAGCTCAACGTGATGGATTCATACTATGAACGAAAAGTATTCACACTACGCAAGTTATACATATCCCAATAAAACAATGCTAACTTTTATATTGTGTAATAAAGTCATTTCATAATGACGTCATCATAATCTCATATGACGATGATTGACTGGTTAATCTAAATAAGATGCACTTTTTGCAACAGTTAACATTAAAGAACAGTATTAGTTGCAAAACTGAATGAATTACTTAACTATTTGACATCGTTTTCTGACTTCATTGTGATGTCATGATGACATCATTCCTGCCATACAATCCTAAAAGATTATTGGATCTATATAAACCTTAGGTTGTGTCTATAGCCGCATAGGATGGAGAGAACCTGGAAAAATGTCTGTGCTATTTATTTTCATTTTCTAACTTCATGAGATCTTATGATGGAGAATAGTTTTCTGACAAACATATCCTGAAGATGAAGATCCCACTCTGGGTTCTGGAGGCAGACACCATCTCTGCATTTAAAGTTAAACTTAAAACGTTCCTTTTTGATAAAGCCTATAGTTAGTTCTGGATCAGGTGAGTCCTGAACCATCACTTAGTTATGCTGCTGTAGGTCTAGACTGCTGGGGGAACTCCCATCATGCACTTAGCACTTCTCCAGCTCTCTCTTTCTCTCTGCCCCCCCACATTCATTCATTTATCTATTTTAATAAATGTCAATAACTGTTTCATTTTACTCCCATAGTCTCTCTCTCTCTTTCTCTCTCTCATTGCAGATATATCTGACCCCGGACCTCAGGAAAACAACTATTATTAATATTAGCAACAATACTTCAATAATTAATTATTATATGAATTGTGACTGTTATCAATAATAATGAATAACGTCTTTACACTGTTATTGTTTACATTTTAACTGGTCAGATCTGATACCTGATGGTGCTCAAGTGTTCCTGGTCTCTCTCGCCTCTCTCTCTCCCCCTCCTCCCTATCTCTCTCTCCTCTCTCCCCCTTGCTCCCCCCAACCGGTCGAGGCAGATGACGCCCACATTGAGAGGTTTCTCTCTGTTAATGAGGGAGTTTTTCCTCCACGGTCTCCAAAGTGCTGCTCATTGTGGGAACTGTTGGGTTTCTCTATATTAATAAGATTTCAAGCTCTCAACCCTCTAAGTAAAGTGCCTTGAGATAATGCATGTTAAGATTTGGTGCAATGCGAATTGAAAAAATTAAGATTTGATCTGGAGACATCTTCCCTGGAAAAAACCCCACCAAGTTTGGTAATGCTCAATAAATGCATTGTTGAGTTATTGTGTACCAAAACAACATCCGAGATGACATTACAAGTGAGATGTTGGTGAGATGCTGGATTAATGTTCTGGAGGAGGATAAACTCTATTCTACAACATCAGTCCAACATCTGGGTTTGAGCTGTGGTGAGTGTGAAGGTCTCGGCGTCTCATTCACTTTATTCCCGTACTTTTCAGCGCCAGTGACCCCTGTGGGTGAGGACACGGTCATCCTGTCACCACTGCTCCAGCCAGTGCAGGAGTGTGAAACGTGACACTGACAGAATCGTGCAGCGTGGACACAAACCACGCTGCTCCATGTGTCTGATGCACATTGATCAATGCATGTTCTATCAATCAACTGTCACATCCGGTAACATGTGCTGTAGTTACATGTTATACTACTAGTTCCACTTCACACACACACATATACACGTGGTGGGCAGCCGGAGATTGCCTGGAGTTTACATTGGAGTCAGTGGGGGACGAGGCTAACAGCTAACTGCTAACGCCGGGAGAGCAGAGTGTATTTACCCGCTCCGGAGGAGAACTTGTGGATGACGTTGGTCGGGGCCATGTTGTGAAGATCCGACCTCGGAAGCAGCCCCGTGGTGAATCTGAAGATCCCTGTGATAGTCCGGGGAATGTTCCCAACTTTTCCCAACTCAGCTCTTATTCCGAGCCTCAGCCGCTTTCAGTGGCGACACACGCACTTCCTGTTCGGGACCGTCACAATAAAAGCTTTGCCACAACCTCGAACGAGTAGTTTTTCTATATTTACCCCAAAAACCAAGTTTACACTTCATTTCATTTGAATCTTTTCCTTTCTGGGTGTTTGGTTCTAGTGTAACCTAGCCAAGAGTTAGTTGTGTCAATGCAATAGACCTCACAATTAAAACATTACACATGAATCTAAGATGATTTCAATACAAAGTTTATGTTTCTGAAGTCAAACCTTAAACTACAACATGATGCAATAGCAAATCAAAATTATATTTAAACACCAATCTTTTAAGTTGTGACTTGAATCCCTTCTCTTGTACTAAGTCTCACAGTGACTTTAAATTTTGACATTATTGTGACTTCCAATGTTTCTTCATAATTTTAAACAATGACCATTCCTAATTTCCCCCTGCAGAGATGCTGCTTTTAAAATCTCTCAGATGATAATTTAGGAATCCATATTAGTACCTAAGACTGGGAGAAATGAAAATGTCCATCTATAACACTAGATTCTAAAATAGCTAAAAGAAAAAACTGTTATATGGATATTTTCTTTGATCAGTGATTTGTCTGATAACAGAATGGCGCAGTGGAAACACCCGTCATCAGGGGGGCTTTTCCTTTACTTGACAGACACAGTGGAAAAAGACAAAAAACTAAATCTCCATTTAAGATCGTCTTAGAAAACAGGGCCCTCCAGCAGTTTGCTTTTCCCTCTAACACATAAATAACCCAAACCATAATGACAAATCAAACATGTAGACAAGGAGTCACTGACACTATACTGATTTAGTTCTGTAATATGCTCACCATAGACAAATTCAATGAAAATGTAATGCTAATAACTGTCTTGCTTACTGGAATCATATTTGTATGATATATACACATATATATATCGAGAGAGGGAGCAGGAAACATCAAGCTTCTGGACTGAGGTCAAATTTTTATTTATTATTAAGATGTCTTATTAAAATAATGTCAGATACATTTTTCTTTACAGCTAACTTTAATTTCAAAACAAAGAAAAAAATAGTAAAAATGAACCTGCCACAGTGATGGAAAAACATGCTTAGAGTCCCAGGAGCACACAGAGGTGTGCCTCATTCATCCAGACACAAAAGGTCAGTTGTCCTGTGGCGCCCCCTTTAGACTGGACCTTTGCTTCTTCTTGTCCATCTGGCCCATGACACGGTACAGTTTTTTACGAGCCTCCTTCTGTCTCTTCAGTTTGGCCTCCTCCTGTTTCCCCTTCTGCTGCAGGAACTCCTTGTGTTTGGCGTGCTGCGCCACGTGGGCTTTCTTCTTCTTGTAGTGGTGAACTGTGCTCAGAGCCTGGAGCAGGGCCGCCACCTAAAGCACCGGGACGAGAAAAACAACACTTCTAAAGTCATGTTTCACTGCAAGAAGTGGTACAAGGTGCTCTTGTTGCTAAAGCAGCCCATAACAAACCATTCTTTCTGGCAATTGTTTCAATCATATTATCAGTTGATAGAAACGAAGCCATAAATTAGTATTTCTTTTAAAACAGAACCAGCAGGTACTGTCTTATGTTTGTCCACTGTGTCCATTAGTTATTTATCTTCTGCTTATTTATCTATCTTCTATTTATTTTGTCATCTCCATTTCTCTTATTCAAAAAAAAGAGAAAACTCTTCATTTAAGTTAACATTTTGCCTAAATGGTGAAATTAAAATGTCATTATAACTGAGAGCTACTTCTTAATGAGCCGAGTTAAGTTTCACACACCTTCTTCTCGTGGGGCTCTCGGATCACACTGGGGCGCTGCAGGTCTCGGGGTGTCTTTCCTTTACGTTGCTTGAATTTGAGTTTGCTCTTGAAGGGCAGCGCCTTCTGGAGCTCCTTGGGGATGTGAAGGGGGTTGAAGTGTCTCTGGGCTCGGACAACCGGCTGAGGGGAAAAAGACAAAAGTTCACATGTCAGGATTTAGGGTTACTGTTCGGGTCAATCTGTTTTATTGTCACACCTACAATACTCATAAGACAAATATATATTGAAACGTCTGCAACTGAGGATTTTTCATAACCAACAAATACTTTCTTCAATGCATCATTTTTCAAAGTTCCATTTTCAAATGTCCAACTATCCACAGCTGTACAACTTTCCTTTGAGGGTCCAAGTCGAGTGAGAGCCAGGGACAGGTTGTTAGTCTATCGCAGAGCTGACATAAGCCATTCTCTTAGGCTGAATGTATTCACTCTGCTGTGGTTTGTTTATAGCACATCTACACCAGCCCTTATCACCAAAAGCTCTCGACATTGTCGGCAGTGTCTTCTAAGTGTATCGCACCGCTTTTTCGTCACATTCACTCATGGTGAATCCTGGGAGAGTCTCCTGCTGTGATCAATCATAGCACTTGTGCACTTAAAGAATCTTTCACAAATAGCAGTTACGATCCTCAGATGAGGGCTTGACAATTGTTTCTATATTTCGTTTTACCCCATCGACGGTGATATGTTGTGGCTTCTCTCTTGTGACAAATGTACGTCGCTTTGGACAAAAGTGTCTGCTAAATGCCCTAAATGTAAATGTTATTATCTCTCATTGGCTGATCCAGACATTCTGCTGACTTTATACCAGGGGGCTGGCCGGTGAAAGTGCAGAGGCTGTCACTCTGAATTTTGCGTTCTCAGATAGCCCTTGCATGTCTGAAAGCAGCTATACAGACACGATCCATCATTCACTCCGATGGGCAATTTTAATTAGGCAATGAGCCTAAACTGCGTGTATTTGGACAGTGGAAGGAAGCCAGAGTACTGAGAAAAAACCCATTCAGACACAGGGAGAACATGCAAACTACATACTGAAACTTCTGGGCCAGCCATTAGGTTCCAAACCAGAACCTTCTTGCTGTGAGGCGACAGCGCTAATTACTGTATCACCATGCCACCCTGTCCGAACAGTCCACAATCCCACAGATATTCAGTTTACTGTCATATGAAAGAACTGGGCTGTAGCACTTAGTAAGTAAATACTCTTATTTCTTCCTTCGTTCATTACATCAGTTGTTTACAGATCCATCAGAATGAGTCTACCTTGTACAGAGAGTCAGTGTTGGGTTTGTTGCGGATGCCCAGGTCATGTTTGAGCTGCCCCAGGGTCCTCATGCCCGCCCAGCTGTCCTTCTGCCCAACAGGCAGCAGCAGAGAGGTGACGGGGTTGTAGAGCTGAGGAACAGACACTGGATACCAGGAGCGCAGGAACACAATGTCTGCACAACACAGTCACACACAAACATAGTACACACAGAGAAACACATCAATACACAGCATTGAAACATTGTCATATTAGTTGCAGCATGTCGAAAAGATAAAGACGAACAGTTGAAGATAATGGTGAATAATTGTATGATACTAGGGCTGCAACAGCTTATTGATTTAATCGATTAATTAATTAATTAATTAAAATCAATTTTTCAAACTAAGTGTGATATTCAGACATGTTTTACATTTTCTGCACCATTGCATCTAATGGAAATATTATATTATATTCTACATATCCTTCTCCATAATAGATCACCAGTTTAAAATAAAAATATCAACACAAGTCAAACAGGCACTCACCACTCATGAGCAGACGGTCCTCAAATGTGGCTCTATATGCTCCTAGTGGTGTTGACAAGGCCTTCTTGATCTGACCTCTGACCCCTGACACCGTCCGCACAGAAGCACCTTCAAATTTAGCGACCTCCAGCAATGTATTGAACATGCCCTGTGATCAGAGAGGGAGAGATCAGTGAAGGTGCACGTGTGAATAAAACACATCTGCTTCTTCGTACTGTGATGCTTCACTGTCTCACCAAATTCTACAGACAACCAAAACCATGCTGCCTCACGACAAACATAATGTATGTTTGCTTTATCACATATGCTTTTATCGTGACATGTCTGTCCTACTGAACCATTTCCTTAAACCTGGACTGAAGAACTCTGATTATGATGCAGATTACCCAGAGACACTCTAGTTCGTTAAAAAGCAATTCAATCTTAAAGAATGTTTCTGGAGCAAATTAATCTTTCTAATCTGCATTAGGGGATTACTGATTTATCAGCCTTCAAAACTAAATGTGTATTCACATGAAGGCTGAGACGTGAGCTGCGGATTAAATGCTGTTTCCTTACCTTAATGAAGCAAGTGTTCTTAAAGATCTTGTAGGGGTAACCAATGAGTTTCAGCTTCTTCACTACAGTCACTGATTTATCCAGATCCAGGATCACCCCTGTGGCTGCAATACGGAAATTAGCCTGCAGAGGGGAAACGCATAATACTTGTTCAAGGACTCTTTAGGATTGCCACGAGAATAATTCACACATATAGATGTTCATCAAATAAAAAAAACCCCACAACATTCTGATATTAAGTGAAGGTGACAAAGTTCTCACTTCTATTACAACTGGAATTTAAATGATGTTATTCATTGTAATATACTGAACCAAGTGATTTAGTAACTTACTTTAACTCCTGCTACTGACTGCAGAGCGAGGAAACCCGTGCCCTGTGGTGTGATGGGGCCTTCAGTGAGACAAGAAAACAAAATCATGGTCACTGTCATATAAGTGATCATTTTAAACAGGAATCACATCAACAGTGTTGAACAAAAGACTCATTTTAGGCTTTGAAATTACCAATTGTTTGACAGAACCAATTCTAAAGAACAACAGGTCTAACACTTTCCAGCTGAATGAAGTTATGTGGATGTAAAAAACAGTCACTCGGCGAAGATAGAAACGCACATGATCAAATGATGGTTCGTAGAGATTCAAATCTCGCTCATCACAATACGCCGATAGTCACCAGTGCTTTAAATGTATCTCACCCCAGATGGAGGCTCCACAGTGCATGTGCTCCGGTGTGTATTTGAGCAGGCGGTGGCGTCCGTTGTGATCTTCAATGTGGTAGAGGGGGATGGTCTGGAAGCGCCTCCAGCCTAAGGACAGGATGAGGGGGTCCCGTGTCTTCATGATGCGCTTATA